CTCATGCTCTTCCTCTGGGCCATCCGGTTCTTCATCTTCAAGCTCCACGAGTCGCCCAAGTTTCTCATGGGTCGCGGGAGGGACGAGGAGGCGGTCGAGAACGTGCATAGGATTGCTGCGTATAATGGCAAGACGTCAGATTTGACGGTCGCGGATCTGCAAAAGGCAGGGAATGCGGTTGGAGAGGGGCAGGGTGGTAAGAAGCTCGATACTTCGGGCAAGGCTGCCGTTTTGCGTACCGTCGAAAAGTTTAGTCTCGACCATGTCAAGGCATTGTTTGCGACGCCACGATTGGCTTATTCTTCCACGTTGATCATCATTTTGTGGGGTACGTGCTTCAAGTCGTCTTGGGATCTTGACTAACTCTTTTCAGCTTTGATCGGTCTGGCATTCCCGTAAGAAATGCTGCTCGTCGTTGTTCTTTGCTCATCATTTCCTAGCTTATACAATGCTTTTATCACCGTCTTGTGAGTATCAATTCGCAGTGTCCATCGTGTTCTAACTGGATACAGCTTTACCCTGCGAGGAACCGACTTTGGAGACGGCAGCATCAACACTACCTAGTACGTCCACTGAGCCAGTAATACACATGTATCTTATACCACCTCTAGTCGGAACACGGTGATCCTCTCTGTAATCGGTGTACCCGGCGCCATCATTGGAGGGTACATGGTCGACTTGCCCTACATCGGTCGTAAAGGCACCCTATCCCTCTCCACACGCAAGTACCATACAAATACCTCCAATCGATACTAACTACCTCACAGTGTCGACTGGCATATTCCTATTCGCGTCTACGACCGCTCGAAACTCGAATGCGTTGTTGGGTTGGAACTGTGCCTACTCGTTCACATCCAACATCATGTACGGCGTCTTGTACGCCATGACAGTAAGCACGAGTCCTTTTGAAATTCTAGTCTCTCATGGTCGTCCAGCCCGAACTCTTCCCCACCAAAGACCGAGGGACCGGAACTGGACTAGCAGGTAAGCACGCCCTCACCCTCCATACACCCACTCACATCTCGTAGCCACTGCAAACCGTATATTCGGAGTCATGTCGCCCATTGTCGCTCTCAAGGCCGACCTGAGCACACCGGTGCCCATCTACGTCTCTGGGGCGCTCTTTTGTGCTTCAGGACTGATCGCACTCC